GAGAGTCTTTGCTAGATTTTGGCATTTAGCAACTGGCATACGGTTTAATGTGAAGTCAACAACAACAACAATCGTCCACATGTGTTGTGTGTTTGCCTTTTCGTCCATTTTATTGTTGCGACAGTCCCCCCATTTTTCGTGGTGAGGCGTGTACCACACTATTCAGCGTATGTAGAGTACTACACTTCTTGGTGTATTTTTTCGTACAACAACAACCATCCAGGGTCACACAGATGCCTGGTCGGCGGGAACCCGGCACGGAACCCTCCGGCGTTGTAGGCGGGTGTGGGAAGCGTTCCCCGTTCTCCTTTTATTTTATTTTGATCGGTCTCCTCGACGCTCTTTCTCGTTTGGTGCGGTAGCTGGTCTTTCTTTCTATCATTTTGTTTCTCTTCCGAGTGGTTTTTGTACCCTATTTTTTTCTGTTTCTTCGTGGGGTCGTGTATGCCGGGTTTTGAGACCACGGGCTCCCAATCTTTTTTTTTTTTAGAGCTAATGTGAGAAACAACAACAACAACAACAACACAGGTGTCCTTCAGCGATGGTACGCAACTTTGGAGTGACTGATGACACAGGTGGCCAGTGGGCACGGTTACAGGGGGTAAAGTGACCTGTAACCTAGGCGTTGTACAACCTGCGACCCGGTCGGACGCACCGTTGCCAACCTCCAAGGTCAGGCAGGGTTCGGAAACGCCTGCCCAAACCCAGTTAAGGGACATTTGCATCTATCTGTGCTTGGTTGCAGGCGAGGTTGTCCAAGCCCGAGAATGTCCATGCCTTGCCGCGAAAACTATGTACCAGCCGTTGTCCGTATGTATGTATGTAGACTACACGAGGCACAGATTTTTTGGACATTCGCGGCAATAAAAAAAAAAGCTTCACAAGAGTGCCGGCATTTGCAAGCCCGATTTTACAGTCGACTACTACAGTAACGTTAAACAGACGCGCAAAAACAACAACAGTACACCCCCGTCATCTGCGCACCAGTACTATTTTCATAGGAATCTCTTCCTCGCCGCTGATCTGCAACTATTGACTGCCCACCGGTCACCCCGCGAGTAGTAAGTAGCCCCTTCGTGAGTGCTTACTAAGTTGCAGCTGTCGTCGCGTTTTGGGGCCTCTGTTCTTACACCACAACAAAGAAAGGCGGGTTAGTTCTTGTTCTTGACAATACGTCGGGCCTGAGCCGTGTTGTCTGTCGCGTTTTGCGGCCTCTGTTCTTACACCACAAAGAAAGGCGGGTTCGTTCCACGTCGGGCCTGAGCCGTGTTGTTATTATTTTTATGTGGTCAATTTCTTTGATTTTGATTTTTTTCGAGGCCGCATTTCTTATCTGCCAAGTTTAAGTGCGAGCGCCATCGTTATCCTCTGATCATGGTGTAGTGCCGGAAGCAACATAGACATGGGCCTACTCTATTTGATATACAAATAGTTGCGTAGGAACACGCACGGCAACTATCGGGGGGTAAAGCAAAGACTGAGAAAGAGAGAGAGGGAGTAGAGGCGATGATATACTACATAATACATGCGCTGCCTCTCGTAATAGTCAATACGAGAACACGTACGTACGTTGTTGTTGTTGTTGTTTCTCACATTAGCTCTATAATTTAGTCCACAAAAAATGGGGAG